CAAAAAAAACAAAAAAAAAAAAAAAAAAGGGGTAAAGAGCAAAGTATACCTCGCCCATTGATGTTCTTGGATATAGATAGAGGTAGCTGATAAGCTTAAAGAGAGAAAGAGAGAGAGAGACTGAATTGTTTCTCTCTTTTTAAGTTTTTTTATTTTTGTGAGTGTGTGTACTGTTTTGTGTTATTCTCAAGAAAGTTCAAAAGAGAAGTGGTGAGCATGGGCTACATAGAAATCAACGAGGCACTCACTAATTTTCGTCATCTAAAAAAGCACAGCTGGCATGACTTTTATATAGGTGGCACGTGTGACGGACATATACTTTGCTATTTTAGGTGAATTTTTAGTTTATGTGGCTTTAGGATTAATGTAAGTAGTACAGTTACGTTAAATTGGTGCAACGAAGAAATTAATGTGCTTAGTAGATTGTATTTACGTCAATGAAGTATTCTGTTTTGCTTTATTTATGCTTATTTGTCTTGCCTGTAAATTAATTTCAGTTTTAATGAAGTAACATGTTGTTTGACGATTATTTCAATTACACAATTGTGTTTACTAATTGTGTTCAATCACTATACAATATATATATACAAAATAGACTGTCACTATACAAAAAATATATATAAAAATAGACTGTCATTATACAAAAAATATACAAAATAGACTGTCACTATACAAAAATATACAAAATAGACTGTCATTGTACAATTTATATACAATAGGCTGTCACTATACAAAAAATATACAAAATAGACTGTCACTATACAAAATATATACTAAATAGACTGTCACTATACAAAAAATATATAAAATTGATTGTCATTATACAAAATAGACTGTCACTATACAATAAATATACAAAATAGACTGTCACTATACAAAAAATATACAAAATAGATATTTCGGGCTATTAGATGTAATATATTTGGGTCGGAGGCCATTTTATATCAATGGGCAAAAATTTGGGCTATTAAAATTTTGAGGGGCTATAGAGGGTAGTTTTCTCATTATATATTACTAATTGACAACTCGATCTTCAAACTATTTCGCACAATCCTTCCATCTACCTTGAGTTGTTATGTCCCTAGTGCAGCATAACTAGTATATATATATATATATATATATATATATAAAGTTAGAGGGGATATAAAAAATTAAAAAGTGATAGGGTAATAACCTTATGTTGTAAAAATCCTATTCGGTACTCTCTCTCTTGATCTGTAAACTTGTATCGCCACTATTTCTCCAAATTATGAACTGACATTACCCCATTTTATATATATATTTTTTAATTTTTCACTCTGTTCATCTCTTCTCTCCAACCTTTTAAAGATATGGATCTTTTCTTAACATCTCTTTCAAAAAACTCACCCTGACCGCAGTTAAATATATTTGCCCATTTTAACTCCTTTCTAGCAATATTTTGGGCTCATCTTAACTGGTCTCTCCTAGGAATTTATAGGTTAATCCATCAGGGTTGTTAAGAAGTTGGAAAGATAACCATATACTTGGAGTAATTTTTTAGTTATTTACAAACTAGCAACTAAGAAATTAAAGATATAAGATATAATATAAAGCTCTTAAATAAATCGGGGTAATAAACGTAAATATAATTTATAAAAACAGTAACTTACATGTTTACAGGAGAGAGATTTCCCTTTCGGTAAACCCAAAAGAGTTTACTGGACTTGAAAATAAAAAACTTGCACACTAATGTGGATTAAAGGTTTGCCATTCAAGATATCCTTCTTCTTGTGGAGATTGTGGAGGCAGAAAATAGCCACCGATGACATGTGGAGGAGGCAAGGGCAAATGGTGATGTCTAGGTGTTGGTGTTGTCAGCAGCCCCAAGAGGAATCCATTGAGCATATATTTGTCACAAGTCCTACTGCCTCTAAGGTATGGAACTTGTTCATGGGGGCTGCTGGAATTTCTGTGCAATTGATTCAATTGAAGCAGATTATAAGGCATTGGTGGTATGCTCAGTGTTATCCAAAATTAAAGCCACTATTTCAAGCAGTACCAGCTATCATCACTTGGGAGCTTTGGAAGAGAAGAAATGCAGGTAAACATGGTGGTTCAGTGTCCACAAATAGGGTGATTCATGAGATAAATATGACATTGCATCAACTGGCAAGGGTGAGGTATGCTTGGATCCCTAATATTCCATTGTTATGGCCAGACATGATTCAATACTTTGAAGGATATAAACCTATATTGATCACTACAAGAGTAACATGGCAACTTCTCTTTCATGGTTGGTACAAATGTAATACTGATGGAGCTTCAAAAGGCAATCCTGGACCTAGCTCCCTAGGCTTTTGTGTGAGGGATGATGAAGGTGATGTGGTGTATGCTAGGGCAGTAGACCTGGGAGTGACAACTAATGTGGTGGCTGAAACTAAGGCTATTCTTCAAAGGTTGGAATATTGTGTGGAGCATGATCTTCACCCTTTCATACTGGAGACTGATTCATTGGTGATGAAGAAGGCGATAGAAGGGGAATGGGATCCTCCTTGGGTAATTGCACAAGATGTG